GGAGTCCTAACACACCTGGGCATCCTTCTGCCTCCTGCCAGCCTCCTCCTTCTTCCTTCCCTCTCTCGCCTTCTTACCTCTTTGCTTCAGGATTGCCTGGGGAACTCCAAATTCTTCTCCTTCTATTATACAACTTTTCTCTAGGGTCTTCTCTCCAATACACATGCCCAAATCCATCATTATGCTCAGATGGACAAATTTTACAGAAGTCACTCTCCTTTAGACAATTTTAAATGTTGTCCTTTGGTTCAATTCTCTTGTTTCTTGGGTTCTGAAAAGATGAACCAGAGCTCAGTTTTACTAGAGCCTTATCCATAGAGTGCTGACAAAGACAAAGGGAGAATACCCAGAATTATAAAGAAGAAACATGTAGAGTCACCCTTAAGAGTTGCCTTCGAAAATGCTCCCTCCTGACTTTCCTATGTTATCCAGTTTCCCTTCAATTCACTCTTCTGATAAGCAGAATCTAGATGTTGGTGCTTCCAGATGTAACTGCTTATTGCTGAATCCCTGAAAAGACAAGGCGGAGAGATTTTTCAAAAATCTGGCTCCTTTGATATCAATGGTGACTTGGGCCCAGTGGAGAATGTTACTTCTTATTGCCAAATTGCAAAAACAGCCTCTTGAGTTTCCAAAAACACCTCCTCGCTGAAGAGTTCTTTGCCTCAGAGAGGAAGGGTGATGGGTCGAAACAGCCACTGAGTAGAAGGCAGGAGGCATTAGTCACACAGGGAAGAAGTTGCAGATAAATTTTAAGAGCCACTGCAAACACAGGCCCATATGGTGTCCGGGGAGCACTTTTGTTTTAGCAGGTATATCTTGGGATCTTTGAAGGAATGGTTGCACTGCCAACTCGTCAATTTATCAACCCTCCCAAGGTCACCAGGGACGCTGTGGATTGGGCCCGGGCAACAGGGGCCTGGAGGAACTGGCTTTAATTAAAGGATTTGTGCAGTAATGGAATCCTCAAATCCTTTGAGCAATGTTGCATGAACTGGGCCTTTCAATCCCTGTGTGCATTTTCCATGGCTGCGAGAAAGCGACAAATATCCTGACCAAGCACTTTGAGGGAGGGTGTCGTTAACCCATTTAGAAACCCCGCTGAAGGACACATGATTTGGAAATACATCCAAGCAAATGAAAAAGAAAAAAGAACACTGTATTCTCCAGCAGTGGTGAGGACTTCCATTCTCCAGACTCTTGTGATAAAGTCCTGCTATGGTCATTACTGTTTTAAAATATTGCTTTGTGGACATTACCAGCTATCTTCATTGGAATTATTGGCCATGGTTTGGATGGATCATTGAAATCTGAGGCTAACAGTCTTGTAGTTTGTAAGGACTAGGGGTCCTCTGGATGGATGCTGCCCGTAGATGGTTTGGACATGCAGAATGTTCTTGCAGTGCATATCTTGGCTTCTGAAAAAGTCAGTTGCCTCCTTTTGACCAAGGGTGTACCCGCTGGGCCCACTCCACACACAAGCCCCACCTGTGTGGTTCTTGAAGGTATTTTTGGGTGTGTGTGTGACCTTGATCAGACATTTCTCTGAAGCTGTGCTCATTGCTTTGCTGTCATTTGGCACATGTGAAATTCACACACATACACACCATACTCTCATGGGTTTTCCAACCTGTGGGCTGCCACACAGAAAATATGGGCTGGACATAATGCCAGTTCCTGGGTGGTGATGGGAACTCCAGCTGTCATCTGATTGTTGCACAAACCTCTTACCAAATCCCAGGAAGCTCAAAACTTGTATGATATGACCTGATCACCAGAGTCTCTTCAACGAACTGTAATTTAACTTCCAGGCATTAGTTATTTTACCAGGAACTCTTTAAGGTCATCTTTTTGAGAAATAGCTATCAAATTTTAATATGCTGTTGGATGTCTTATCTAAGTAACCTGCAGGCTGGGTTACTCTCAGAGCTCAGAACTGGGAAAACAGTTTGCTTTCTGTCTTGAGAACCAGACATGTACAGTACATATGTCTTAGTCAGCCCAGGCTGCCATAACAGAATACCACAGGCTGGGTGGCTTAACCAACAGAATTTTATTTCTCACAGTCCTGGAGGCTGGAAGTCTGAGATCAGGGTGCCGGTGGGGTCTGGTGAAACCTCTCTTCCTGGCTTGTGGTGCCACCTTCTCATTGTGTCCTCACATGGCAGAGAGAGAGCTCTCTGGTATTTTTCTTATAAGGGCACTAATTCTATCAGGTCAGGGCCCTACCCTTATGACCTCATTTAACCTTAATTGCTCCTGTAAAAGTCCCACTACAAATACATCACGTTGGGGGTTAAGGTTTCAACATATAGGCAGAGTGGCACAATTGGTCCATAGCAACACATGTACACAACCCATCCAAGTTTTTTTCTCCCTTAATGCCAGGAATATCATAGCAAAGTTTTGAACTCAATTGCATTAGCCTCTTTAATCTAGATTTTCATTTATAATTTGCTTTGACCTCTTGCCCTCTTTACTCAGCTCTTGTTCTTTCATCCTTACAATGATATGGGGTTTTGTTTTATTATTGCTTGTTTACTTCACATGTGTAGATATGTTTTAATGACAAATTTTCCAAATACATTTTGGAAGATGATGGGATATGAGAATGATAAATATAAGAAAAAATTTGTATCATGACACTGTGAGGAAAGACACACTTCAGATATGTTTGTTTGTCTTAGAAATCGGCTTAGATTGTTTCTGAAGGTCTTATCTTGCAGCACCCATGAAACTGAATTTGGGCTTGTTGAAAGGTCCAATAACAGTGGTTGGTAATGCTGAAAAACAGGTGAACTCTGTTTTCTGCACTTTTCTTCAGGAAAGTTACTCCCAACAAGAGTATTAGGACTTGGTAACTGGATCCTTCATCAACCACTGACTCAATAACTAGCTGTCTTTTGCTTAAAATCATAGATATTTGACTAGTAACTAGATTCTTCCCTCTTATTCATGCTTCACACCCAATCTCTTATGAGCTGTTAGTAATTCCACCTCCTCACTACTTTTCAAGTATGTTTTCTCCTCTTCATCTCCTGTCCCTGCTCCTAAGTTTGGGCCCTCACATACACTGTTAAAGTAAACTCTGTAGTGGATATTTTTCATGTTTGGGGCCACCCAGAACCCTTTCTGTATTTGGAAAATGTCCTCGCCTTCATAAGACAGAAGCCCAAAACTGGTTTTCCCAGCATCCCTTGCAGCCAGGACACAGACATTAGCTTGGCCTCCAATCAAACATCCACACAATGGACTGACTCAGAAGAGGTGATGCAGTGAAGCAGGTGCCACATGGAATTCACCCTGGCAAAGCTGATGACAGAATCTTCTGGTTTCCAGAGGCAGTGGCCCTGGAAGGTAGGTTCAGCATCTGTGCCCAGGGCTGGGCCCCGTGATGGTGGCAGAGAAGTGTCACCACTGCAGCTGTTCCCAAACGTGGTTTGGGCCCAGTTGCTGATTTCACAACTCTTCTCTAGCTCTCCGAGAGATTCTAGGGCCTGCCTCCTAACCTCTGATAGCCACTCGCGCTAAGTCAAAACTAGCCCAAGTGGTTTTCTGATATTTACATTAAGAACTCTAGGTCAGATGAGATCTTAGTTTTAAATAATAGAATCTGACTCTGACTGACTAAGGAGAAGTTGGTTATATGTGGGATCTAAAAAATACAACGAGCTAGTGAATAAAACAAACAAACAAAAAAGAAGCAGACTCACAGATATAGAGAACAAGCTAGTGGTTACCAGTAGGGAGAGGGATGGGGGGAGGGGCAATAGAAGGGTAAAGGGGGAAAAAGGGTTAATGTGGGATTATATGAAATCATCTGTGTGAAACTTTTGAAAATGGTAAAGCACTATAGAATTTAAAAACCTTTCAATCAATAAAAATTAATTAACATCAAAAAGAAAACACAAAAAGGATATTGACTAACTTGCGCTTTCAGAAAGATGCTGTAGACATTCTTTCTCCCATTCCTTCCACCAAGTACAACTAAAAACACTAGACATTATATGGACAGATGTAAGAAGTCTCTGAAAGAAGGCTGACTGGTTAGGGAACCTGGGATCCCAGGAATGACATACTGATGAGTTCCCTGGGTTTTCTTTTTGCCTGGCGTATCCCAGATTGGGTACTTGAAGAAATTAGAAATCCAGAAGCACCAATGGATACAGACCAAGAGTCCCTCTGGAAGCCTGCTCTCTCTGTCAGAATGACCAAGACAGGGAAACCAAGCAAGACAGAAAAATTTTAGACAATAATCACCCTACTCCAGCCAAACACCACAGGAAGCACTGCAGCCCCACCACCACACCCAACAGCGAAGACCCAGAGCCTAGACTCCCACTCTTGCCAGGCTGCAGTGAGATGCCCCAACTTCCCTCCTGGGGTGACATCAGAAAAGATCAAGTAGGGAGCCAGGATTTCATTCCCAGCAGGTAGTCCTATAAGGGAGAGAGGGAAGAAGCCATTCCCTGCAAGGTCTGGCTATGTTTCCTACCCTTGGTTTCTACCAAATTCCCCCTTTTAACAAATCTCCTTTTTAATTTAAGCAGTTTGAATAGGTATCCAAGTCTCACAATCAACCATGCTCAGGCTCAGACAAACAAAACTCAACAGGACCCCTGGTATGTGGACATACTAATTGTTCAAAAGATGGTGTTGGTCTCGAACCTGCCTCTTAAAGTATTCCCCACACCTCTGACACAGCCTCCTTTCTCCAGTGAAATGTCACTTTCTCTAGAAAGTTAGAGAGGGCTTCTCCAACCTAAGGCTCCAAATCGTGCCTCTCTAAGCGGCCTCTGGTTCCCCTTTGGGGTCCTGATCGCATGTGTAATTGTGACTGTCCTCCACACCAGCCAAGGTTCCCTGGGAAGAGGCAGCATGTTAGTGCAACTTCACACACCCAGCATGACACAAAGCACAAGACACATAGTAGGTGCTCAATAAATAGGACTTGAATTAACAAGCTTCTGAAACAGGAGCTTAGTCATTCTTCCACGTACCTCCCAAGCTTTTCTTGATGACAGGGGAGCTGATACAGGCACGGAATGCAGATGCCGGAAGTCAGCCTCTTAACAGTAATGCGTCTTCTACTTCCCCTCCCTGCTCCCTGCTGAGCCTGCAAACTCCCAAAAAAGGAGGAACTGGCCCTGATCTCCCTTCCTTACTTAGTCCATTTTCCGATGGAGAGGTCAGGTGAGGAGGTGGCACTTACACACCCATTTTCCGCAGAGGCAGGACCTGCCGGAGGGTTGCTTTCTGACAATTTGGCAGCTCCTGTGACCATGTTGGGATGCTTGAGAGTGAACTCTGGCTAACCTGCAGCTGTGAACTTCATTCTGGTGTCAAAACAACCCCCTCCATCTTCCAGAATTCTAAATATCGGTGATTTTTGTCGACCTCCATCATTTTAACTTGGTCACATGAGTGTGTTGCAATGGCTGTTGTTTTTAAGTGGGGGGAAGATGCTTTTGCACCAAGACCTCTTTTTGGCCTGTTGCTGCCCAGAACAAATGTTGCAATCAAATTACCATCCCCTGGAAATAGCAGCCTAAATGGGAAATGCTGACAACTTCTAACGTGAACTGTGTACATGGCATTGATAGAATACCTAAAATAAGTGAATACAGAAAAAAAGAGAGAGAAAAGCCTGAGGTATGGGTTTCCTTAACACAGCAGAACAGGGTGGCTCTGTGCCTTCTATAAATAAGAGGGAAGGAGATACCGCAGCGCAGGGTGGGAAGTCTTTGCTGACCTCTGCACGGCATTGTGTGCCCCTGGCATTGTTCTGAGTAGTAAACCTGGCTCTAGAATGAGGTCTGCTCATCAGAGAGGTGCCAGGATCTCCCCAGCCATGGCCACGGGACTGTGCCACTCGTATCACAAGGAGTGCATGTGATCTTATGTGCATTTATAGAGCTTTGTACCTTATTCTAAGTTCTTTTTGAAAGTGGTGTGACAGGTATTTAACACTGTTTTACAGGTAAGGAAACCAGCAACAAGTGCATGGCTCATCCATGTCTAGAGCACAAACTTTCTGATACCCAATCCGATGCTCATTCTACCAAAATCATGCTTGAAAGTTTCAATAATAATGATGATAATAGTAATAACGGCTGACATTTATTGAGCACTCATGATGTGACAGGTACTGAAGTAGGTATTTCAACGCATATTATTCCATTCATACGAAGTAGGCACTGTTATTATCGACATTTTATGGGTGAAGGAACTAAAGCCCAGAAAGGTTAAGTAACTTGTCCAAGGTCACACAGCTAGGAAGTGGCAGAACTCAGAGCCAGAATTCTCAACCTTTATACATGAGGTCTTGCCAAGTTCAACATTAAGGGAAAGGGTAACGCTGTTTAATTTATGTATTTTATTTAATTTATCCATTTCTTTATTCTAAAAGTGATTTAGTTACATGGTTTAGAAATTAAGGGAGGTTCACTCAATGGACAATTCCAATAAAATTTTGAATTTTACTTCATAGCATAGAGAGGTATATCTGATAAGCATTTACATAAGCAGGAGACAACATTGTAAGTACACTAGAATTACAACCATGAATAAGCATGGGAAAATTAAAAATTCTAAGGACACACACCAAGATATGATCAGTCATTGTATTGAAGTGATATGATTATGTGAGGATTTTTTTTAATGTTCCCTATTTCTAAATTTTCTGGGTTTATTTTTTCTTTTTGAAAAAATTTAAGGAAATGTGAAAAGGCTCCCCAAAATGTAGCTTGACTTATTCCTTTGAATCTCTGTCATTTTGGGACCCACAGAGAAAAAACAGTCTTATAAAAAAGCAAGAAATGTGGGAGCAGCTCAAGTTTTTCATTTTTATTCTATCAAAACATCAAGGAATTTGTCTTGGTAATACTGGTAAAAACTTGTCCACACTGCCTCTCCAGAGAAAGAGAGAGAAGGGGAGGGGAGCTGGGGGGAGAGAAGGGGGAGGATGGGAGAGAAGGAAAGAAAAAGAGAAAAGGGGGTGAATTTTGTTGCACAGCAGAATCATTAAATTTCATTGTTTTGTTTGGGAGCTACTTAACAAGTCCACAAACACTAATCTTGCTGGGTAATTAAAACAGTGTAAATGTCACTGTTCCAATTTTTGACATTTGGTTTGGGTCCTGACAGGGCACACTGAATAATAGAGAAGGAATATCCCGGTTGAGAACACATGTGTTAATAATCCTGGCACAAGGCTTTAATATTCCTCTAGATATTTGAAAAACTCCGTATAGCTACATATGTGCCATTCCTTTGGCACTTCATCACACACTGCCTTGAGGCGCCTCGTCTATTGCTGCTTTGTATTGTGTGGTTGTCTTGAATCATTTAAACTTCCATGAGTCCGGATTTGCCGAAGACATGGCATCTTTCCTGAGGGCACCGATTGGGTTCTACTTCCTAGTAACACAATGTCATATACATCAGAGAAGGTCAACTGCAATAGAATAATAATACTAACAACAACAGTAATAATGGCTACCATTTATTGATCACTTACTATGCACTAGGCACTGTGCTTGGTACTTAGCCAACACTTCCTCATTTAATGACAAGCAGTGTGTTAGAGCAGGCTGCCAACCAGACTAAATCCCAAATCTGCAATTTGCTGGTTTTGACACATTTCTCAGTCTCCCTGTTTCTTAGTTTCATCCTCAGTAAAATAAGGAAACCATGGTACCTTATTTCTTAAGGTTGTTGCCGAATCAAACGAGTTCATATAGGTAGAGTGCTTGCACATGGTAGTCACTCCATAAACATTAACCTCGATTATGCTCATTTGATCACTGTGATTGTTCACTTCTACAATGAGAGAACTCTTGCCTCTCCCCACCCAGACTTCTCCCCAAACGTTCCCATCTCCATAGATGGCACCGTCGCCCTCCTCATTGCCCATGTCAGGACACAAGGCTCCGTTCTTGAGTTCTTTCTTCTCCCCCAAATCCCAAATCATTTAACAAGTCCTGTCAGCTCTACCTCCAGAATACCCTGAATCCTCTCACTGGATTCCATCCGGGGAAAGCATCATTCTGCGGTGGCCCTGCCTGAGTTAGGAGCCTTCCTCTACCACTTCCTATGTACGTGATAATGGGCAAAGTACTTGAACGCTCATTTGGGATAGTAACAGAACTTACATCATAGGGTTGCTGTGAAGACAAAATCAGATAATCCACATAAAAGCCCTTGAAACAATACCTGAACATAGAAACCACTCAGGCAATATTATCCACTGTTGTTGTTGTTGTTATTATTATTATGTCCACTGATTCCAGGCCAGTCCAAGCTGCCATCAGCTCTCATTTGAACGGAAGCTACAGCCTCTTAATTAGCCTCCCTTCTTCAATTCTGTCACCACACAGCAGCCAAAGGGACATGGTTACTATGTAAAAAAACCATATCTCTCCACCAGTAAGAATCTTACCATGGTTTCCCATTATTCTTGGATAAAAATCCAAACCCTTAGCTCTGGCCTTAGCTCTGGCTCAGTCCACATATGAGGTGACCCTGTATACTCTGACCATAGCTTGTACTGTTAACCTCTTCTTATTATAATCCAGAGACACCAGTCATTTTTTAGTTCCTTGAATATGTCAAGCTTCAGCCTGCCCCAGGGCCTTTGCACTTGCTGTTACCTCTGTCCCCCCCCCACCCCCAGAACAATCATTCTGGCCCTTTCTTGTATGTGCAGGTCTCCACAGCTCACACGTTCTCTCTTCTGCCAGGATTTCCTTATCCTGTCTGGGATTTCTCCTCCCTCCACACTCTCCAGTCACATCATCTTATTTTCAGTTCTTTATACCCACGTCTGACAATACCTTGTTTGTTTATTTGTTCACTGGCTTATCTTCTGCCTGCCCAACTAGTATATAGCTTGTTCTAGTCACTAGGGTAGCATAACAAATCAGCACAAAACAACCATTTATTAAGCTCACAGACTATGTAGGTAAAGAGGTCAGATAAGGCACAGTGGAGATGGCTGATCTTTCGGGGCCTCAGCGGAAAGACTCAAAGGCCGGAGGCTAGAATGAGTGGGGCTCTTTGGGCATCTTTTTAATGTCTCTATGTAATCCCGCCACATGATCCCCCCAGCACTGCAGCAGTGATGTAGCTGGACTGCCTATATGCCAGCTCAGGGATCCCAAGGCACATGTCCCAAGAGAGGGCCAAGAGAATGTTGTCTCACCATCTATGATGTACACTTGAAAGTTATACAGCACCTCTTCCACCACAGTCGTAGGCCTGTCCTGTTTCGAGAAGACAGAGAAATGCCAGCAGTGTCATAATTTGAGAAGAGAATGTGATATTGATATATATCTATACCTATCTATCTGTCTATATGATGGAATATTACTCAGCCCTAAAAGAGAAAAAGAAAGAAATCCTGCCGTTTTCAACAACATGGATGGACCTGGAGGACATCATACTCAGTGAAATGAGCCAGACACAGAAAGACAAATATTGCATAATCTCACTTATATGTGGAATCTAAAAATGTCAAACTCATAGAAGCAGAGAGCAGAATGGTGGTTGCCAGGGACTGAGGGGAAGGGGAAATGGGATGACGGTCAAAGGGTACAAAGTTTCAGTTCTGCAAGAGAATATAAGTTCTGGATATCCACTATACAGCATATATATATATATATATATATATATATATAATATGCCTATAGCTAATAAAACTGTACTATATACTTAAAATTTGCTAAGATCCTATGTTACGTATTTGTACCATAAAAAGATAAATAATAAAGGGGACGGGAGGAAACTTTGGGAAGTGATGGATATATCTATGGCCTGCTGGTGGTGCTGGTTTCACAAGTACATACTTATCTCCAAACTGATTGAGTTGTATACATTAAATGTGTATAGCGTTTTCTATGACAATCACACTTCAATAAAGTAATTTTTTTAAATAGACATTTATTCATGATTTGGTTTGTTTTCATTGCTTGCAAGGATGTTTGACATAAAATAAAAATAAAGTTAAATTTTACAAAAAGAAGAGAATATGGGATGGAATATACGGGCACAGCCATCTTCGAAAATACAGGCTGCCCAAGAGCTCCGTGAGAGC